CACCACCTACCACCACCACCACCACCAGCAGCACCAGCAGCACCACCAGCACCACCAGCACCACCAGCACCACCAGCACCACCAGCACCACCAGCACCACCAGCACCACCAGCACCAACAGCACCAGCAGCACCAGCAGCACCAGCACCAGCACCAGCACCGGCACCGGCACCAGCACCAGCACCAGCACCGCCACCGCCACCGCCACCGCCACCGCCACCGCCACCAGCGCCACCAGCACCACCACCACCACCACCACCACCACCACCGCCACCGCCACCGCCACCGCCATTGCCACCGCCACCATCCTTCTCGTCCTGGCCGTCGTGTTACCATCGGCAGTATCGCGCTGGCTCCATTGCTCTCCGCACTGGTCTCGTGCGCATCATCAGACTGATAGACTCATAGCCATCATGTTCGTATCAGTTTTTCATAATTGTCACCATCGTCCTAACCGCTGTCTTCACCATCGTGATCATCACCGAATCTTTTGGCATCAGACACTATGTACACGGTGTCGGGATTCAGGGCATGTAGTCAACATTTGGATGTCTGCCGGGTGCCAAATATATGTATGCATCGTCTACATGTTCTGTGTTTCGGCTGGGACTGTCTCGATCATTCCCACCTCTTTCTCTGTAAGACCTCAGGAGCCAACAGAATCTGTATGCATCGTCTACATGTTCTGTGTTTCGGCTGGGACTGTCTCGATCATTCCCACCTCTTTCTCTGTAAGACCTCAGGAGCCAACAGAATCTGTATCATCCCTAGCGGTGACACCCAGAGGGTCCAGCGGTCGTCATTTCTGCAACCGGACGCAGAACCCTGAGCTTGGTTTGAGGATGAGGGCTTGGCGTTAAAGTTAGTGGTCTGAATTATATATTAGCTCCCTAGAGATGTACAGTATAGTGTTCCCCAAAACTCTATTCCAAGTATTGAGGCCCAAAGCACCCGCACATCTCATCATACCGTTGGTGAAACAGTGCGTTAGTTTTCCAATTATTAAGGATCCGATATTACCCTAAACCCTAAACCCTAAACCCTCATCAGCCCCAACCGGCCAGGCTTTGACAAGCATCCTGACTATCCGACATGGTCACGCCAGGGCTTGCTCATGAAGGTGTCGGGCTTTGGGGGCTTGTGGGTTTAGGATTTAGGGTTTAGGGTTTAGGGGTGTCGGGTTTTGGCAGGGGCTTTTGGGTGGCCACGCAGCAGGTTTGGGGTTTAGGGCCGTTTAGGGGGGTTCAGGCTGAGTGTTTAAGCCAAGTTTACGAGCTAAATGGGGTCTTGGGGCTACTGGCTTGGGTTCAGAATCGGGGTTCAAATTCGCCGCAGTTGCTACTGCTACAAACAATCTCCAGCAGTGAAGTAGCACCTCCCTTTGTCTGAGTTTCTCTTGAAGGCATCGGTCTGAGGTCTTGGCGTGAGCGCCAGGTGCTACAGTTTGTGTTGGGGACAAAAATCAAGCCATCCCGCACAAATCCTGGAAGCCGATTCACTTCGGAACCACGGTAGACGCTGTTGCTTCGTGCCGAAGACACCTGCCGAACCAAAGCAATCTAGAAAGCACTAAATTCCTGGACCACGAAGAACCTACTTTTGTAGGGCTCGTGACTATGAGTGTTTAAAAAGGTAGGCTAACGAGGGCCATTTAGGTTCCAAAGTTGTAATCCATAAGCCCTGAGCTCCCTAAAGCATTCTGAAAAGCAGTCTCAAAGCCAAGAACCTCAGACAGGACCTGGACGATCCAAAGCTGGGCGGCGACAAGGTTTTGCATGGATATCTGTGGTTTAAGCTTCTTGGGTTTGGGGTCTGAGTTCTTTAGGGAATTTCGGGTGGCCTTACGCGACTTAGACGAGTTAGGAACTGCCAGAAGAACCCTCAGGGTGTGCAGCAGCTGCTTCGCATGGTTTCCGGCGAGGACGGGAGGGCAAGCCAGCAGGGGCCTTCGAATTGGGCAGCTGTATTTGCAGTCCTGGTCGTGTTAGCTTCAGTTAGAGCCCACAGCCCGTGGTGACAGGCATTGCACACCATTTTACTACGCTCCGTGCGCAAAGTTTTCTAGAGTATGGCTGCTGATGCTCGTTTTTGGAAGCATTCGTCGGGACCGGCATTTATGGCATTATGGACTGTCAAACCCTGTACTCACCCCATGCCCGAGACCCAACCCAAAAACTTCAAATTCATACTAGTCTGGTCTGCACCCGAAACCTCCATAATCAGTTGAATCCTCAAGTATAAGGGATGGCACGTGCGGGTTCGGAAAGTCTTGGCAGCCTAGAGCTTGGAGGTTTTCCGACCATTCTCGCTGTAGGTTCCCGGAACTTTTGTTTTCGTCTCAGGGTGCTCTATGCCTAGACCCGAAGGTGTGTTGTTCATGTCTTCGCTGAACTGTAGCTACTTCGTTTTTTGTTTGCAGCCCTTCATGGTCAAGGCCCTTCAATAAGCAACACAACAAGGGCCACAATCCAGGTCTAGGCTAAGGGTATTAGACATGGCTTGTCTTGTTGCTATGCTAAACTCGGGCTGTCTAAGATGCAGGCTGTGGTACCCTGGCTTACATTGTTTGTGGCAGTCTTCCCTAAGCCCTAAACCCTGAAACTTGTATAACCCCTAAACCCTGAACTCTGTATAACCCCTATAAACCCTGAACTCTGTATAACCCCTAAACCCTGAGCCCTATATAATCCCGAAACCCTAACCCCTGAACCCTAAACCCTGAACCCTGTATAATCCTTAAACCCTAATCCCTAAACCCTTGACCCTGAACCCTATATAATCCCTAAATCCTAAACCCTAACCCCTCACACCTAAACCCTCAATCGTGCATAATCCCTCAACCCTAATCCCTAAACCCAAACCCTGAACTCTAAACCCTAATCCCTAAGCCCTAATCCCTAAACTCTAACCCCTATATAGTCCCTAAGCCCTAATCCCTAAACCCTGAACCCTAAAATCCTGAACCCTGAACCCTATATAATCCCTAAACCCTCAACCTTGAACCCTTAACCCTAAACCCCCCCACTCTTCGAACCCCAATCCCTAAACCCTAATCCCTAAACCCTGAACCTTCAACCCTGAACCCTAAACCCCCCCCCCCCACCCTTCGAAGCAGGAGTCGGAAGGCATACCGGAACTGCCCCTCCGGTGGCAAGCGCGGCAGCTGGGCAGCAGAGCAGGCAAGGAGCCGATACTGCGCAGTTACCATAGGTAGGGTGCAACATCGCTAGGAGTTTAGGGTTAGGAGTCTAGGGTTTAGGGTTTAGGGGTTTAGGGTGTAGGGGTTTAGGGTTTAGGGTTTATAGAGCTTAGATTATTATGCTATTACCAATACTATTTTCGGGCTCCATAGTACAATAAAGGTTGAATCTAGTCTACTTCAAGACCTGTTCTACTTGTTACGGCCCCATTGTGTGCAACATCGCTTCAGGCCGGTACTTCGAAGGCCGGGATAAAGTCAGCATAAGCCCAACTAGGGCACCACTTGTAAGATAACCCCAGCTCTGATCTTAGGGTACTATTAGCCCGGTTTAGGGTTTACGACGTCGGGTTAAGGTTTGAAGGTATTTGCTTGCTCAGTCCACAGATCCGCCACTTAGACGTAGCCGAGAGCATGTCCACCCCGAGGAATGTGACTGTCCAGGACCGGGCTGGTCAACAAGGGGCTCTTGATCTTACAAGGCTTTAGGGACAACGCTTCGGGCTTTGTGTTTTGGGGATAAAGGTTTTGGTTTGGGCATGAGGGTTTGGGGTTCAGGCCTTCGGGTTTACACGGGGGGAATGAGGGTTATTGGTTAATTTCATGGCTGACTGCAAGTGTCTCTGCTCCGCCATTGGGGTAAGGTGTGATAATCTGTTCCGAGCTGCAATTGCATCTCGTCCCGTGTCAGACCGAAGCAGCCCCGATACGTGGAGCCCTAAATTTAGGGTTTAGGGATGAGGTTTTAGGGCTTAGGGTTTACCTGCCATAGGCCCTAAAGTAGTTCCAGACGAAGAGTGGGGGGAGACCCCTGCACCCGAAGACCTTAGACTTTAAATCATGATATTATATTATGTTATATTATATTATATTATATTATATTATATTATATTATATTATATTATATTATCGGAGAACGGGGACACGGGCGCCCCGACCCAGACCGATTTTGGGTTTCCTCTACGCTTTGCCCCCCCTCTCTCTCTCTCTATATATATATATACAACATATATATATATATATATAGAGAGAGAGAGAGTACAGATACATTTACTGACTCTGCGAGCTAAACCTTGAACGCAAAACCTTAACCCTAAACTCTAAATCGTCAGCCCCAAACCTTATACCCGAAACCTTGAACACGAATCCTTAAATACTAAACCTTGAATCCACAAGCGAGTGAGGAGACGCCAGATCCCCAGAGCCAGCTGCACATGGACACCTTCGCACCGATCGTGAAGGCCGGCTGGCGATGGGTGTGGGGTTTAGGGTTTTAGGTTTATAATTTCAGGGTTTTAAGGGTGTAGGGTTTAGGATTTACAAGCTTAGTGTTTCGGATGTGTAATTTCAGGGTTTTAAGGATTTAGGGCTTAGGGGTGCGATGGTTCAGGGCTCTAGCGGCTTGACGGTTGGCAGTTGAGGGTTTAGACGAGACCGCCTCAAGTCTCAGAGTTTAAGATTCAACTTTCAGCGTGTGAAACCACGGGTTAGAACCCGAAGCATCCCAGATCAGAGCCCAGACCTTCCGAAATCCTTTAATTCAGTAAAATATATCCCTTAGATTATAGCAGGATCCCGGATCTAGATTTAAAAAAAATAATAATATATCTATATATATATATATATATATTCACATATTCCTGAAACTAAGGGGTTTGTGGAAAGTTTGGGAGGTGTTGGGGAGTGTTCCTTCGCATCCGGCCATGGTGTTCGAGGAAGTCGCGCCGTTGCTTCATCGATGTGTTGGGAGATGGGCGACTGTTTTTTTTTGCAATGTCCATGTCAAGAGTCATGGCGATGTCGACAGGGATCGTGAGGTTCATACAACCAAAGCACCAGTAGCAATAAGACGACGCTGACAACTTACATAATTAAATTCGAAGCAGTGTAGCACCAACCAGAGCAGGGGGAGGAATGCTCCTCGGTTTAGGGTTTAGGGTTTAGGGTTTCACCACTTCGTACTACGCTTCTAGGATATGCTTCGAGCATTGAGCCTTTCACAGCACCTCAAAATTGAATAGTGTGATACTTCTCACAAGGGCACCCACATGACATAGAATCCTAAATTATAGGAGCCTTGTCAGTTTCCTCCCAAACCTTCAACGCCAAACAAAGTTTCGGAGCTTTGCAAAGGTCTGGGTCTTCCAAGATCCTCCCGGGGTGAGCTTGGATGAGGCTGGAGGAAAGCCCTGTTGTTCGGACTTAGGGTTTTTGGTGTTGAATGCATCGAGTTTACGATTTTTAGGTTTTGCGGTTTAGGGTTTAGGGTTTTGGGCTAGTGACAGCTCCTTGAGAGCTCGGGGCCTGATATGTTTAGCTGGGTTCGGGTGCTAAGGGGGGAACTTGAGCTCGGGTCTTTGCGGCTTTGCAGGGTTTAGTTACGGTTTAGGGTTAGGGTTTAGGGTCAAGGCCATAGCCCTAGGCTCGCTGGAACCCTGAACCCTAAATTTTAAACTCTTTAATGTTGTCGTCCCTTTAATAA